TAACTCGGAAATTAAATGATCAACCCCCTGCCCCACCCGCCGGCCCTCCCGCCTCGGGGGGGGGCGGAGGGGGGGGGGGGGGGGGGGGCCCCCCCCCCCCCCCCTCCCGAGATGACCTGCGGTTTTTTAAAACCGACTGGTATTCTGCAAAAAAAAAAAACTATGTGGTTTATTGGTGTTTAAGTAGAGCAAGAGACGAGTGCACCCCTCCTAAAAAAAATCCTGGATCCGCCCCTGATAGTAATGAACAAGTTTCAAAATGTCAAAGCTTCAACTCTTAGGCTCAGTGGGGGTGCAAGGTTCCATTTTGTTCTTTGCTTTTTTCTATTCTAATTTTTCTCAGACAGGAACTGAGCCTGAAAGCTGGAGCAAAAGACACTGCAAATTCCAACTATAAAAAGGAAACAAAATTTATCGTAGTGCTGGTTGTACATCACAACCGGCTGTGAGGCTTACTTGTTGACTATTTACATACCGTATTTATTCGAATAAGCGCCTAACCTCGAATTAGCACCCGCCTCGAATAAGCGCCCATGCTAAAGGCAGAAAAAGTTATTAAGTGCCCAACCTCGAATAAGCGCCTACCACCTAACATCCATCCAGCAAGCTGTATCTGCTTCTTGGCCACCTAACCCATTTGCCGGCTTTACGATGTCGGACATCCAGGGGGCAGCACCAGAGAATTCACTTACTGACCTCCCTAAAGACGGAGTTTTCTTCAGAGTAGTTTCCAGAAACCTTGATTTGATGTTGTTTTGTTGCAAAATAAACATTACTACAGTTGCTGAAAATGGTGAAAATTTAATAAGCGCTCAGGGCGGTTAATCGAATAAATACGGTGCACCTTTTTCATATTTGGGTCAAGATGACGAGATTGAATGGGGACCCTCCATGTAAGAACGCCTAATTTTGAGCTGAGACTGAGCCAAGACTAAACTTGCTTATTTTTGACGCGATTTGAGCCTCAAAACATTCTTAGGATGTTTTTAAATTACATGTTGTAAACATTAACGAAATTCACTCATCTAGTAAAACCATCTGCTATCAAAAGAGAATTAAACTAATGAGTGTTGTCAGTGAACTATCATGCCGTAAAGCTGGAGGCAAATTCCAACTATAAAATGGAAGCTAAATTTATCTTATCACAGGCTGTACATCCCAACCAGCTGTGAGGCTGACCGGTTGGCTATTTACATACACATTTTTATATAGAGAGGCTCCCCAACAGGTTTTTCATATGCGGGATTTCCTTAAAAGTTGCAGGACGGGATCCAGGATTTTAAAACAAAATGCTTGGGGGCGAGATTCGGGATTGAGAGTATGTTCAGGATGTGGGATGTCAATAATAACCGTAGGGATTACGGGATTGAGCGAAAATTTGGATCAGGTTGACGAGATTAAATCAGGGGCACCCAACGACAATTTTCGGAAAATATCTGTTCGGAAGACGATTTGCGATCTACAATTTTCGGAACATTTGTTGTAAAATTGCTTGCTTGCCTGCCTCTCCTAGGATTTTCGAACATCTTTTAAATGGTATAATTGCCCATTTTAAACGGATTTTTACCCTTAAAAGGTCACCTATAATTTTCGGGAGCCTTTTTTCTGGCTGAAATTTTCGGAAAGGTAAGTTTTGATCCCTATAATTTTCGGATCACTAGACTTTCAGCTAGGAAATCCGAACAGATGGAAAATTTCTAGGGGATAAAAATATGCCTATATCTACCGTTCAAATACTAAAATACGTTAACAATGCTATGTTTAAGTGGTTTTGAACTATATTCTCGTTGGGTGTCCCTGATTAAATGGAGACCCTCTATATAAGAACGCCTAACCTTAAATTAACCTTACTTAAGGTAAGTGGTTGTTTGCGTGTAGGAAAACGAGGAAAACCGAAATAAACCCAGTGACGGATCCAGAGGGAGGGGACTTAATGACTGGACAAAAGTATTTTATCACTTAACTCAAGAGACGAATGGTTCAAAGCTGGGCACTGCACGATTAGAATAACACGTATAGAAACGAATGTGTAATGGTTTGGAATGATGTAGTAACGAAGTAAGTTATTGGCTTCACTTGGTCCCCCGTTATTAAAATTTTCTGGATCCGCCCCTGAAATCAATCATAGAGTGGCGAGTGCACGCTTTCCCACGAGGCACTTTGCACTGGTTGCACTATAAGTTTCTGATGTGTTCCTCGTGTCCTTAGAGCTTTTTGAGTTCTTTGTACCCGCTGTGATAACATAACAGATACAAGAGAGAACTGAATGAAAAATGCTGACATTTTTAAAATCCCTCATAGATCCTTATATATTTGCGAGTGATATAACTCAGGGGCACTTAACGACTGTTTTATGTAAAATATCTGTTCTGAGAAGCAAATATTGCCAGGAATTTTCTATTTCTTGATGACGGCTAAAAATTTCTAGATGACCGTTCCATTCATGTACAATTTTCTAAGCTTATCTAATTAATTCCCTACGATTTCCTGAAGTTCAAGTTTCACATTTTACTTCCCAAGTTAGGCTATTTTTCGTAGAAAAAAGGAAACCTAAAATTTTCGGATTTAAAAATGTGATGGAGAGAGGAATTAGAAAATGTCTCACTTTCGTAATACGTCAAATTTCATCTAAAATTTTCGGGAAAATAATACTCAAGCCCTTCGTGTAATTTCGAATAAGACTCAAGTTTCCCTAGGATGACCGAACACATTCAAATTTCACAGCGCCGCTTAAAATGCTTCTGAACGGTCCTCTGGATAGCCTAAAAGTGTTTTTAATGTATTTAGGAGGAAACCATCGTTGGGTGCCCCTGATAACTGTCTACTGAAAGGCGGACCATTACCAAGGTATATGAAAGATACTGGAATGTTCGATACGATATCAATAGTGTCATTCTCAAGTATCGACACTTTTCAGGCAAATCTGGTNACTTTCGTAATACGTCAAATTTCATCTAAAATTTTCGGGAAAATAATACTCAAGCCCTTCGTGTAATTTCGAATAAGACTCAAGTTTCCCTAGGATGACCGAACACATTCAAATTTCACAGCGCCGCTTAAAATGCTTCTGAACGGTCCTCTGGATAGCCTAAAAGTGTTTTTAATGTATTTAGGAGGAAACCGTCGTTGGGTGCCCCTGATAACTGTCTACTGAAAGGCGGACCATTACCAAGGTATATGAAAGATACTGGAATGTTCGATACGATATCAATAGTGTCATTCTCAAGTATCGACACTTTTCAGGCAAATCTGGTTTGGTATCGGTACATCTTTCAAAATCACGTTTACCTTTTATTTTATATAGCTGGCGAATCAGAGTGCTAACAAAAAAAACCATCTTTCTCATTGTTTCAATGAGGTTTTTCTATCTCCGTTATATCTGATAATAGTAAGCTGCAGCTCTGTTTGTCTTGGCATGTTATGCTATGTTGGCGTGTTACATTAAAGACATATCGTCATAAACAAACAAACAACAACAACGAAAAGCACAAAGTCAAAAGCTCAGGATACAGTTATTTAAGTGGTTGTTTCATAGAATACTTCGATATCTGTTGGCGTGAATCTGAAGCTTCCAGCATAGAATGTACAGTCGTGACCCGATAAAGAATACCCTGGGGGGAGGGGGTAGCTCCCGCCACAAACAGTATAAGAGTCCTGGTTACTAGCAGCTTTGTTTGATATGACAATATCATGCCAGCCAAATCTTGGTCCACTTGATTCATGCCATGATACAGCAGCATAGTACTTATCTGACTTGACTTGCAGCTTAACAGGATTGTACACAGCGTGTCCAGGACCATTGTTATTGGTCAATGAGTAGATAAAGGCTATTCTTGAATATTGAGCGGAGGTAATATCAGCTGGGAGATAATGACAACATTTTACAATTCTCACAAACCTTACTAAAGGCGCTCATAAAAAATCAACTTCTAGGAATATTCAATGATCCGGACTTCAGTTTAAAATAGTGAATGCAAGTCCGGCTTGACATACAAACATTCCTAGACAACCCATGCATAACTGCATTTTTAAAATTTGCTCTATTTGTATACATTTTTCAATGTTCCTAATTGAGTACAGTAATGACACTGTATTGACTTTGAAATTAGTGGGGGAGGGAAAATTATTTTAGAAAATTAGGCAGTTTTAGAGGAGTAACAAACTACTATAGCAAAAAGGGAACTCTCCCTAAACTGGAATCCCTCAGTGTTAGTAGAAAAGAGCGTGTTGCAAACTAGAATGTATAACGTGATACCATAACTGAATTCAGCTCTTTCGAATTATTGAAGTGCCTGTAACCTACATGAAGTCCATAAAAGTAACAGACAGTATCACACATGCATCTGATACATTTTTCTTTTCAGCCTCTGCATTGCTCAACCGCTTGATTCCGTGTTTCGTTCAGTTTTTAAAGTAATTTTTCGGAATTTTGCTCATGAATGTTCACGGATGTAACTACCTTGCTTTTTACAAACTTAAGGAAAATTTTCCTTTTTCTCCTTCTGATCTGACCGTGACCTGGGGGGTAGTTCTTAAGCCACACTTTGCTTCATTAAAAAGAGTCCGCAGTACATAGTTAGAGAACTTTAAAGATAATTAAGTAAAATTAGGCTGGGACCAAAGGCGTCCTTTCCTTTGGAGTGGCCCCTTAATGGGTTTTGTAAGGAGAGGGCGAAACCAAATTTTGCAAGATTTTGTTTATTGATGTTGTGATTTAAACCTCAAATCAACGATAAAAAAGTAACTTGACGTTTCGATGGTTTCGTGTCATCATTAACAAAAGATAAGCAATTAACATGATTCATGGAAGTATATACTATCACTAGTTCGCAGCAACCTCGCATATTGCTCGCAGGTGTGGGCTCTCAAGCTGTTAATCTTATCCTTGACATGGAAAGAATTCAGCGGCGCGCAACAAAATTCATTCTGTCTTTTGCCGTATTAGTGTGAAGTTAGTTATAAGCATTTTATATTTCTTGGCTTGATACACTTAACTCACGTGTATTTAATATGCACTTTTTTCCATCTCCATAATATGGTGGGTCGCAAACACAGCTATAGGATCCAGGGATGTTTGTACAGTTTGCATGAGTGTCGTCGCAGTCATGTAAGTTGTCAGCACATTCATCTACATCTGAAAAAACAAAATGCCAGAATTACGCATAAACCTACCTCCCACATTGGAATCACAGAAATATGAAAAAGGTGAAGTTCAAAGACTGCTTCCCTAAGGTCGCTGAGATCGAGCGCTTAGTGCTGTAACAGGTGACCATCTTGGTTTTTTAAGCCGTGTAAGTGTAACTAGGGAAAGAGTATCAAAGGGAGTACTACCAAAGGGAGCTATAAGCCCCGACTCTATAAAGGCGCGTCATAAAAAATAATCAGAAAATTTTTGAAAATCTTTAAATAAGAATGACTGAGACCAGGTTTTATGAGCCCGCGAGACTAAGCACCCCNAAAAAATAATCAGAAAATTTTTGAAAATCTTTAAATAAGAATGACTGAGACCAGGTTTTATGAGCCCGCGAGACTAAGCACCCCACTCAAACCCTTGTTTTAACTAAAACCGCTGGACGCCAAAACCTGGTTGAGGTCATTGCTATCTAAGGTCTTCCCAAATTTTTACCTTTACAAATGCTCCCATTGCCTGTGTAGCCAGGCCAGCACGTGCAGTTGTAAGAGCCAGGAATGTTGGTACAGCTCGTATTTATGTGACAGTCATGGCTTCCATCCTTGCATTCATCAATTTCTGGAGGGAGTAGAAATGTAAATATTAAGTTACAAAGAAAACTAAACTATTTGCAGAAAAATGAAGTGAGGGCTTGTATAGTTAATTATACCATTACAAATGCTCCCATTTCCTGTGTAGCCAGGCCTGCACGTGCAGTTATATGAGCCAGGAATGTTGATGCAGTTCGCATTTACGTCACTCTTATGAGTTTTATCCTTGCATTCGTCCAGGTCTAATATAAAAAAAAAGAAAACAATACAAGCCACCAACCTCGCACATCTTATATAAACGTAGACATTTAAGGCAAGAAAATGATCAATTTTGTAGCATGCTGATTACTTCAGGGAACACTGATTGTTTCACTCATTGCAAGAAGAGCAAACCCCGGGGGTACCCCTATGATGGCCTATTCGGAGAAGCTCCGCCCGAACTGCAAAAGAGGTACCTTTTCCAGACTCCAGGTGTATAAAAGGGTAAGGATTTCAATAGTTGAAGTATATAAGAGGGTAAGGAAATCTGTGTCATTTCGGTCTGTAAAAGGACCTAAAGGGCTATTTGAAGGATTTTTATGGCAGTGAAAAAGTCGAAAAAATTTCGCTCAGGACGGAGCTTCCCAGGATAAAACTTTGCTGCGGAATTCCCTCCACCCCCGGGGCACAGATGTTTTCTATCCAAGACTGGCATTTGCAAAAGAACCTCTTGTACGTATATCCAAGAAAACATTTTCCTTGTTCAAGTCTGTAACAGGTGACCATCTTGGTTTTTTGAGTGTAAGTGTAAGTGTAACTAGCGAAAGAGTATCAAAGGGAGTACTACCAAAGAGAACTACTATAAGCCCTGACTCTGTAAAGGCGCGTCATAAAAATTAACCGGCAAATTTTTACCTTCACAAATACTCCCATTACCTGTGTAGCTAGGCCTACAGGTGCAGTTGTAAGAGCTAGCTGTGTTTGTACAGTTCGCATTCATGTGGCAATCATGGCTTCCCTTTTTGCATTCATCGATGTCTGAATAAGAAAAAGAAAAAAAAAAGAATATAAATTAAATCTTATCATGATATTTATCAGCAAGTTTTACCTTTACAAATGTTCCCACCGCCTTGGTAACCATGAATGCCCGTCCAGTTGTAAGAGCCAGGAATGTTGGTACAGTTTGCATTTATGTGACAGTCATGACTTCCATCCTAACCTGCGTAGCAGGCCCTTGGAAGTAGTGAGCACAAGAAAGAAGGGGATAACACCCGTTTTTCTTGCTCCCAAATACTCCCCTGCGCAAGAAAATAATCAATTTTGTAGCATGCTGATTGCTTCAGGGAAGACTGATGGTTTCACTCATTGGGAGAGGAGAAAGCATAAATCCCGGGCGGTACCCCCTGTAATGGCTTACACGGGGAAGCTTCGTCCGAATTGCGAAATGGGTACCTTTTCCAGCCTTCAGGTGTGGTTGAAGTACATGAGAGGGTAGAGAAATCTGTGTCATTTTGGTCTGTAAAAAGACCTAAAAGGGCCAACAGAAGGATTTTATGGCTGTGAAAAAGTCGAGAAAATTTCCTGGCCCGTTTTGTGATTTATTCACAGTTTCAAGACAATAAATTTACAGCAGCTAAAAGTAATGCAAAGTTCCAAACTAGGTATTTGAAATTAAGTATTTGAAAGGGGTACCATTTGTCAATGGAAGGTACTGGTTAAGGGAGGGGTACCTTTTCTCTGAAAAAATATTACATAAAAGGGTAAGGAGCTGGACTTCAAGGTAACCTGAGATCAAGCCCAATTTTAGCGGTTCTCATACATTCTCTGTAACGGCTACCGCTTTTTGTTTCGCCTTGCCCGCCGGAATGTTAATTTCAAAGCGAAACGAAAAGAGAGCCTGATCTCAGGTTAACCTCAAGGCGGAGCTTTCCAGGATAAAACTTTGCTGCGGACCAACCCCTCCCGGGGGGGCGCAGATGTTTTCTAACCCTGACAACGTTGATTATTTCTTATTAAGCAACATTCACTTGTTCTCAATTTCTGGGTAGGATACACTTTCGTTTTTCTAACCACCTCGAAGGATCTCGAAGCAACGGACCACGGTAAGTTTCTAGTTTACTAGCTGGCGATTCCGTGTATAAGAGACGTAGACGTAGACGTATTTCCAGTTTGTTTCTGCCCGAAAAGCATTCTTTGTGGCGCAGTCAAGCGAAAACAGGACTGAATTTGTCTGCGTTTGCTGGCCACATAATCACCTGTTTCGCAGAGTTCTCCCATGTAACCAGACTGGCATTCGCAAAGAAACCCCTTGTCCGTATATCCAAGGAAACACTTTGCATTGTTCAAGCAAGGTTTGTAGGCACAAATATTCTAGTGAAAATGAAAACGTAATTTAGATTCCATGAAATTTTAATATTATATTGTAGGAGTGTTGTAGACTTCGAGCAGTTCCCTTTTCAGTCTGTCAAATCGAGACTTGGCAGAGCTCGAGAGAGCGAACCAATCGAGAGGGAGGGTCTAAATGGGATTTAATGTTTGGTGTTATTTGCCCATAATTTTGAGTGTTTGCTGTTAAATTAGCCAATTTTTTTTATGTTTACTGTTTCCGAAGAAATACCGTCAAGTGTTTGGAGGGTTCTTCGGACATCTTTGGCCATGATCGGACCTCTTCGTTAGACTTCGAAAATCTTCGGTAGCCTTCGGAAATCTTCTGAATAATCCGGAATTGTCGTAAAATGGCCAAAAACTCCTTGATATACTAAACAAAATAATATTGGCCTTTTGGAGCCGTTTTTGCTTCTATCTAGGAAAAAAAACATTGTTTCAAAGAATCTTTACTGTTAGTGTTTAAATGCCTAAAATTTAACTATTTCATTTTACAAAGCCAAAAAATGAAGTGTTTAGTATTATCGAGGGCCCCCCATTCAGACCCTCGAGAAGGGAACTGGAGGGAGGCTTTTCTTTTTCCGTCTTCCCCCTTGCGCGTTTGCCTCGCTCGCTCGCTCGCTCACACGTAACATTCTCGCACGCGCGACCATCCTGAGAAACTGCAAGTAGTCAATGCTCCCTATTACCATTCTCATTATTATTTTATGTCTTCTTCATCGCCGCTCGACAGATCTTTGGCTAGACTTTGTAAAATTCCATTTTGGTTGATTCCCCCTGTCTGGAGGGAAGACGGACAAGTGCAATCTTCGGGAGAGAACCGAACACAAGAGCGGTCACTATAACAGTTAACCGAAACATGAAACAGCATATGAAAAGCCTCTGACACCCAAGGGTCGTCATCACTATCTTTTGATCGTCATTGTCATCATCACTTCCATAGATAAAACTTCACTTTTTGGGCTATGAATAGTTAAACGCTTACCACAAGATAATTTACAACCATTGCCGTCATTAATTTATTTCAGCGAAATTCGCCCTACCTGTGTACCTTTATACGTCCAACCTTCTCTTGGTTTTAAATCATTAGGATGCTGTATGTGATCTGAGTTACACAACTCACAGACCCTCATATCATTAATTGCTGGACCAATGTTGATTGCCACGCACTCTCTCCGGTAAAGACATTCCGCTTCGCAAGATTTGCTTGCTCCAATGGAAAGGTTTAAAAAGGTGTGGCCTTGAAGATACATATAAAGGCCATACTCCCGATCAAAAAACTTCAAATACCGAATGTGGCCACAGGTATCTAAAAGATACATTT